GGTGCTCCTGGTCCTGAGGGGCTCTCATTTATGTTTTATCACAAATTCTGGGATTTGATTAAGGCTGATTTGGTTGGTATGTTTAATGATTTTCATAAAGGGGATAGCTAGATCCATGAAGAATTTTAGACCTATCAGTCTTATTAACTGTAGTTTTAAGGTGTTCTCCAAAGTGTTAACTCTTAGATTAGGAAAGATTATGAATAGATTGATTTCTCCTCAACAGAGTGCCTTTATTCAGGGTAGGTATATTTTAGAGAGTTGTGATTGCTCACGAATTAGTGCATAGTCTTAGCAAATCAGGTGAACCTGGGATAATCCTGAAGTTAGACTATGAGAAGGCTTATGATAGAATTAATTGGGACTTTTTGTTTGAAATCCTTAGAACTAGAGGTTTCAGTAATACTTGGATTGATTGGATTAGACATCTAGTCACAGGTGGCTCTGTGGGAGTCAATCTTAATGGTGAGGAAAGTAGTTTTTTCAAGGGGCTATTGCGTTCTTGCCCCTACTTTGATGTTCAGTTGTGATTTTACCCCTGCTTTTGTCATCGTTGTGATTTTACCCCTGATTTTTGAAAACGAAGCTTAAGTTTACCCCTATTCCGTGAACAACAGGTAACGGTGTCAAATGGGCTCAGTAAGGACAAGTTTGCCCTGCGCTGCTTAACGCCGCTTAACGTCAGATCGGGATGCCACCGCCACCACGACGATCCGCATTGCCCCCTCTCTCCTCCTCCTCCCCCCCCGTCAGAGCTGCAGGACCCACTCCTCCCCCCAAGGCGCGCAAGGCATAGCTACCAGTGACCCGAATCCGAATCCATGGCACCCAAGCGCGCGCGCCCTCCCCGCCTCCCGCTCCTCCTCCTCCCCGCCTTTGCTCATCCATGGGCAAGGCCGCCACCGAAACCCGGACCAGCGCGTGCCACCTGAACGACACAAGGCTGCTTGCCTTCCTTGTGGGAACCTCACGTCGGCGGGCGGACGCCTCCTCCCGCCCTCCTCCTCCTCCGCCCCGGGTGCCAGGCGTGGGGACGGCGTTTCTGCGACGGCCGGCGTCACAGGTGTCCGATTGCGCCCGGCTCGAGGCCTCATGGGCCGCCGTCCCCCGGCGCTCAAGGCCCCATTCTCCGAGACCTCGACTCGGCCGGAGCGCCACGGCGCCCGCGCTGCGGCCCTCGCCTTTTTGTTGGGACCATCCGCCGCTAACCTCTCCTCCAACCTCCTCCCACGGCAAGGCTCGGGCGTCCCCTCCCGGACCACCTCGACGCCAAAGAATAACTCCATCTCCGGCCCCCTCGCCCGCCTGGCCTCTGGCCTGCGCGCCAGTACTCGGGTACTGACCCTCCACCAACCGCCTCGCCGGTGCCTCGTCCTCGTCCTCGGCCTCCCTCCGCCTGCGCCGCCACATCATGGGAGCTCACCGCCAACAACGCCTTCACCCACGCATGGGAGCCGGGACGTGAGGAGAATGAGAGAGAGAGAGAGGATCTGAGAGGATGGGGGATTGGGAGGTATCGGAGGATAAGGGGTATTGAAGGGTTTTGTTGTTTTTTAATTTTTTTATTCCAGATACAACTAACAGAGTTAAAAGTAAGGGTAAACTGAGCCTTAGTGGTTATAAAGCAGGGGTAAAATCACAACGATGACAAAAACGAGGGTAAAATCACAATTGGACATCAAAGTAGGGGCAAGAACACAATATTCCCTTTTTTCAAACCTGGGGAGGGGTTAAGGCAGGGTGATCCTATCTCTCCCTTGCTTTTTAACTTAGTAGGTGATGTTCTCACAAAAATGCTCCAGAAGGGGGCTGAGAGGGGTATCATTAAGGGGATTGCTGAAAACTTTAGAGTAGGTGGTATTGTGTCGTTGCAGTATGCAGACGACACCATTCTTTTTTCCAGAGTTGAGGAGGAATATACTATGAACCTGAAAGGTATTCTCATTTGGTTTGAACAGTTGTCTGGCATGAGGATCAATTTTCATAAAAGTGAATTAATCCCGATGAATGTTGAACCTGAAGTAGTTCATAGTCTTGCTCATCTGTTCTCCTGTCCGGTTGGTAGCTTACCTATCAAATATTTAGGGGTTCCTCTGCATTTTGGGAAGCTCAGTAGGGAGGACATTCAGCCTCTAGTAGATAAAATGTTGAAAAAGCTGGCCGGCTGGAGAGGTAGACTGTTGTCCTATGCAGGAAAACTAGTTCTGATTAAGTCTTGTTTAGCTAGTATTCCTGTATACTTACTCTCGCTTGTTAAATTTCCTAAATGGGCCATTAGAATTCTAGACTCACATCTGGGTAACTGCTTACGGGATGATAGCCCTACTGCCCGCAAAATTCATTTGCCCAACTGGGAAAGTGTGAGTATGATGAAAGAGTATGGAGGTCTAGGTGTTCCTAACTTGAGAGATTTAAATTTGTGTCTCTTAGTCTCTTGGATCAAAAGGTATAATTTAGATGGTGATAAGATGTGGAGGCAATTTTTAGATTTCAAGTACAAAACCGCTAGACCAAACATCTTTTATAGCAACTCCACTGGTGCTTCTGAATTCTTTAAAGGTATGATGAGAGTCGCTTTTTGCAGCAAAATGGGTTATAGATGGCGATAGGAAATGGTAATAAGGTCGCGTTTAGTTCGCGTAACTTGGTGCCGCCTGATTTACTGTTCATTTCTGTAGTACATCGTGTAGCATTTCGTTTGTATTTGGTAATAATTGTCCAATCGTTGACTAATTAGGCTCAAAATGTTCGTCTCGTAAAGTACAACCAAACTGTGCAATTAGTTTTTTATTTCGTCAACATTTAGTACTCCATGCATGTACCGCAAGTTTGATGTGACGGGGAATCTTCTTTTTGCATAGTGCCAAAGTTTGGATTTTGGTGGAACTAAACATGGCCTAAGTGCAAATTTTGGGAAGATAGTCTAGCTATTCAATACTGGGAGATCTATGTGTTAATTAATGAGAAGGATGCTACTGTTGCATCCCTTTGGGATGGCAGTGATCTGAAATGTACTTTCAGAAGATGTGTTGATGGTAGATTATACAATCTTTGGTTAGAAGTAGTCCAGTTAGCTTCTACTATCATTTTTACTGATGAAGAAGATTCTCTAATTTGGCAGTTTAATTCTCAGGGTGTTTACTTTTCACAGTCCTTATACAAAGTCATTAATTTTAGGGAAATTTCTCCTGTATATGTTCCTGCTGTTTGGGCACTGAAGGCCCCACCTAGAGTCCATTTTTTCCTATGGTTATTGTCGAAGAATAAAGTTCTGACTAGGGATAATTTGAGTATTAGGAAGAAGATCAAGGATCCTACTTGTTTGTTTTGTTCAGAGGCTGAAACTGTCAATCATTTATATTTTGACTGCGTAGTAGCAAAGCAACTTTGGTCCATTCTTTCTGAAATCTTAAATAAGCAAGTTGGTACAGACTTTGTGTCTATAGGAACTACGTGGATTAGCAATAGGAAATTTGTAGTGGAGAATATTTTTTGTGCTGCTGCCCTGTGGGGGCTGTGGAAACTAAGAAATAGCCTGTGTTTTCAGGGAATACTCTGGGTCGATGTGCGAGTGCTGGTACTGAAGGTAACAGCTATGCTGCACAATTGGAGTTCTCTATGTCCAAAGGAGAAAGTCCCAGAATTTCTAGATCGCCTAGACAAGCTGAAAAGCTTCGCTACAAGACCTCACCGACTACCTGGTTGAGTCAGGTGAATGACCAATGGGAACATGTCTTATATCAAGCTGGGGCTGATTGGAAGAACAATGCTTTACCTGATGAAGCTAAAGCCCTGCTGGCAAATGGGGATGACCTGGAGAAGATGGTGCATGAAAGGAACTGGATTAACTTTTCGAGCCTTGCGGAAGCCTGGGGAATGTAGTGTCCGATGCCAGTAGTTACACTTGTTGTTCTTGTGCTTTCTGTTTTGCCTGTTGAGGCTTTATGTGCTCAGGTGGAATTCTGAACTCTGAGATTTTGTAAGGCGCTAAACGGTTTGGTCTTTGCAATATAAAGGCCGGGGGCCACCCTTGAACTCTAAAAAAATAGCGCCACCCAGTGAACTAGGAAGATTGGGAATTCATTTCAGATAAACACTGGCAGTGGTCATTGTCTCTGCCTCCTATACTTTGTAATGAATTTCAACCATGGATATAAATGTAAATGTAAAGAGCATATCAAAGATACAAGATATGACTTAGATGAAAATTCTGGCATGTCTTTTTCCTATATGGCCAGTACCAATTTTTTCTCTACAACTGTGTTGAACAAATGATTCTTCAATGTCGGTGGCTTCTTCAGAAGAACCCACAATGCAACAGGAAATTTTCATGTGAAAACAGTAACAAATCCATTCTTTGCAACATTAGTCAGTCATTTAAGACATGATAGATGGAGAAATTATGTTGCCATATAAATCCAAAATCAATGTCAAGTATACAAGTCAGAGATGTGAATTCCTTCGCTTGTCAGAAGATCATAAGGTATTTTGCCATAGAATCCAAAATCAACGTCAAGTATACAAGTCAAAGATGTGAATTCCTTAGCTTGTCAGCAGATCGTAAGGTACTTTGATAATTTGGTGCCAATTCATCATTTGGCTCCATATTTTGATTAGGACAAAGGGGCACTAAGGATATATAATCACTTGATCATGCGTGAGACAAATGGCACATGTGCTCTTTTGCTACTAGAAAGGACGATAGACTAAAGGTAATTTGCACATATCTTGATATTTGCATAAGATTCTTTTATCCAAATAAACTGAAAAGAAACAAGAGGCAATAATATTTGACCAATACCTGCAAGATAAATCAGTTGACAGAGCTATGGTCAACTATACAAAAACTACCTTTCCAAAAGGAAAATTTAAACTAATAGGATAAAATGAACAAAATATGAGAAAGAAATCTGAACGTCGTAAAACAATATTTAAATTAATGGCAAATGCAGAATGTACTAAGAAAAGAAAACTTTTCCACCAGTGAGGCAAAGACTTACTGCATGAGAAGAAAATCTCACGAATGCAAAGCCTCGATTAATATTCCACTTGTTTGAAGAACCACGATTTGAAGCCATTGCAAGGTCAACCGAAACAACATCTTCGAATGTCTGGTAAAATATGTTTGTCCAAGTGAAATTATTTTGAGAAGTATATATATAAAAGAAATCTATGATTGATAGGTATATCAAGGTTCTACCTTGCGAATCAATTCTTCAAATTCTTCTAAAGTCCACTCTGGCAAAACAATAAGGGAAAGCAGACATTAGCACTTAGATGACAATTATGATTTTCTGTGTATTTTCACAACAAAGTTCTGCAGATCAACATGTTGACAAGCGCTCTGCACTGCTACATTGGGTTGTCTAAGACGATGGACAGGTATTACAGATTTTTCTTGCCATTGACATGACATTGATACTAACAAATGATTCGTCAAATATATTGGCGTGTATTTTTCTTTCAGGGAAATTTACTGCATCATGATTCTTGATTTTCACCATGAGTGGTGTTTACCTTTGCAAAGATTTCCAAAGAAAACCGTATCTTGATCCATTGACAGATCAACATCAAGCCTCTTTCCTTGAAGCTGGTAAAGAACCAACAGCAAATATGTTATGAATGTCAAGTTTCATACATGAGACACAGTGCTATTCTTTACATCTGTTATAATGAAAAGGCACACTACCATCTCAGATCTCACTCTGGAGTCTGGACCCAAGGTCTATAGAAAAGGAAATAAAATAAAACAAACTTGTGATTAATAGAAATGTGAAGAAACCAAAAAGCAGTTGCTGCAGGCAACATTATGAAACTGCTACGTATAACAAAATATTAACGACGGGGAAAGCAAAAGTTGCTACATATAGATGTGAACTAGACACAGGGAAAAAAATGATTGAATGTAATGGCAGACTGGTACAGTTAAGCATTGTTAGAACACATGTGACTAAACACAATAGATTTGTAAGCATTATTAGAACAAGTTAAGCATTCTTACCTCAATACCATTCTTTTGCCTTTTGGCCGTATTAGCATACTCCCTCTTTGAAAACCTAACAAAACCATATCCCTGAAAAGATTTCAGGACAGAAAAATGTGATGGATAAGTCTCATGTGTGGCTGGTCTTTGTGGGGCTGTGCTGCTCACATGGTCCTTGTGGCTGTTTTTCTGTTTTTATGACAGCATCTTAGACTAGAGGACAGCATCTTAGAGGACATCATCTTAGACTAGAGGACAGCATCTTAGCTAGGACAGCATATTAGCATCTTAGACTAGCATCTTGGCATATGCTTGGCTGGCTAGCAGCCTATAAATATGTAACCCTAACCCCTCAGGTTGGTATGGCATTTGTGTGAGTTTGTGTGAGAAATAGACAAGAAAATTGCCCCAACTCCTAGTGTCATCCTCTCTCGATGAGAGTAAGAATTCTCCTACTACCAAGAGTGAGAATTCAGCGACTAACAAAATGACGTTAGTGTTTCATGACAAAGTGTAAAAAAAACGATGTCTAAAAGACTGAAATCATATACTGCGATGTCTAAATTTTACACTTGTACCAGACCTTTGAATGGCCATTCTGATCTTTCATTATACGCACGTCAATAATCTCTCCGCATGAAGAAAATATCTGTTAATGCCTATACAAGTCAGTGCCACAACAAAGAAAATGCAAGAAAACTTCCTTTACACATGAACCATTGAGTCCAACTTAACTACTTCAGACAGAAGAGAACAAACAAGTTGGACAGCAGCATTCTAAATATGAGTTAAGTTCAACATTGAAATATGAAATAAATTAAATATTCTAATCTTCACAACATGGCATACTTGGCTTATTACTAGATATTACTATTCCACTAAAAAAAGTACAGAATAAACCAAAGGGTCAAATGCGCAACTGTAGTTTTTCAGATTCAGCTATTCTCATCTAGATTACAGAAAAAATGTAAACCCCTCCTCCCCTTTAGGCAGGTATCAGGCAATGATATCTAACCACAGAATCTACAATGGCACCAGCTCTCCTGGCAGGTACACATCTAACTCTGATTTGCAATTTAGACGCTACTTTTACAAACCAGCCCAAATGCAACAAATACAGGTCTGATTCAACCTCTGTATGTCTAAAATTTTCAACACCATCAAACTGCTAATAGTGCACAGAAGCAGCCTTCTATCTCATGTGGGTAAACTACAAACCAGAAGAAACAGAAGCAGCAAACCAACCTCCCGGAGCGTGCTTTCCGTGGCCGACCGCGGCAGCCCGCCGACGAATACCTCGGTGCCCTTCGCCGTCCGGCGATCTGCGCATAACCACACAGCACACAAAAACCGCGGTCATTGGCATAGAAATCTCCCCCTCAATACATCAAAAACAAAATGACACTCACCTTGCTCATCGTAGCCGCCCCGCGGCGGCGCCATCTTTACCCTTGAAAAAAACAGAGGAGGGGAAAGGGGCGGGCCTATCTCGCCAAAATCGGCACCAAATCAGACGCCGCTGCGACCGGACGGATCGGCGGCGCCTCCCGGGTTTCGAATCCGGCCGAGGCCCCCGCGAATCGGATCGAATGGAGAACGAATCTTCACGGATTCGGTGGTGAGCCGGGGACTAGCGAGAGCCTACGAGACTTTCCCGTTTTATCGCCTCCTTTTTTTTATTTCTTTTCGGAAAATTCGGAGTTAAGTGGGTTTTGACTTTTGAGCGAATGTGCTTTTATGAGGCACTGGGCCCGGGCTGTCAGATAACGTTGATAGGCCGGGCCAGTTGATGCAAAACGAGATGGGCCATTTGATCGTGGGTCAGTGGTGTAATTTTCTCTTGGAATTCCTTTTCTCTTTCACCTCTCAAATCAAAGGAGAAACTACTGATACTGGGAGGATTTGTGGAAAAAAATATAATGTATTTAAATCCTCTTATATTGCGTCAAACTGTGAAAAAGTCTACTAAGCCATCAACTATAAAATCAGGTATTCTAGTCCTCAAATTATTGAAAATCATCTAAATAACCCTCTGAGGCGGTTTTCAAGGTGATTTTGCTGATGTGACATATTAAAAGTCTATATAACTCCCTAATATATCAACGGTTGATTGCATGACCCCCTCAACTATAAAACATGATATTATAGCCCATAAAGCATCAAATAATGTTCAAATGATTCACTAGATGATCTTTAGGGTTATGTGGACACCGTATCCCGACACATTGTCTTAAACACACATGCTTGCACGCATTAGGCCATTTGTTGCCTCCAACTCTCTACCTTTCTAGACTAACACACAATCCAACGAGCAGCATGTGACATCTTTGTCTCATGCTCCACCTTCCATCACTCGTCGATGCATTGAGCTCAAACATGCCACGCCTACATCATCGTCATTCTGCCCCTCCCACATCCTCCATCCGATCGTCCTTCAATTTTTTAGGTATAATAGCCATAGGAGGAGAAAGCGAGAGGGGCGAGGAGTCGGGTGACAAGGGCGCAAGCGTAGTGCATGTGCTCAATGTCGTCGAGGAGTGCATGAGGTGGAGTAGGAAACAAGATGATGTTCATCGGGTAGTAGCACAAAATTAAAAAGAGTTCAAAGAGGGTGGCAGCCGATAGGTTTGTGGCAAGCATGTGTGCTTATGTTAGTGTGGTGATACATGACCATTATTTGAACATTATTAGATGTTTTAAATGCTACAATATCATATTTTCTAGTTTGGGGGTCATGCAGTCAACCCTAGATATGTTAGGGGTTATGTAGACTTTTTAATATGTCACTTTAGCAAAACTATCTCAGGGGGTTATTTACACGGTTTTTAATAGTTTGTGGGGTAAAATACCTGATTTTATAGGTAATTGGGTGAAGTAGACGGCCATCAATAGTTGAGGGGGTTAAGTAGACTTTTTCCGTCAAACTACCAGGTTAAAAAATAGTTCAAAGTATCGAAGCTTGTCATGCAATGCTCCCTCAAAATAAAAACTTTGCTACTACCACAACAATTTCGATCACTTGCAACGAACCACCCAATTTCTTCGCTCTAGGAGTGGATGGACACCGCTGCTGCGGCCGTTGACCGAGTAGGCTCTGCTGCGTTTTGGATGTGTGCCGTTGTTTGGCTTGGCAGCTGTTGGCCTGTTGTGACCAATCTTCAGTTCAATTGGACTCCCCCTGCCCGGCCAATTTGGGACAACCGACCTAGCCGCCAAAGTTTTGCCAGCAGCCAAGATTGGCGGACATCCAAATGTGTCCTCAGTGGCTTCCTCCGGTTGTTTGGAACCAAGTATTTTTAAAAGAATTTCAAAGGATTGCCAAACTTGTATTTTGCTGATGTCACCTACCGTTTGGAATGAAGGAATGGAACTTCCCGTTCCTCTGGAAAGGTTTCCTTCGCTCATCAAAACGTAGGAATTTTTACATCCACTCTTGCCCAAAGTTTTCGCGGAAGACCGAGGCGTTCGTGTGCGCGCGAGAGAGAGAGAGCGCGCTCGCATGGAGCGCCGTCCCGCTGCACCGCTCCAGATCTCGCCGATGTTCGGCTCGCTCATGCCGCTCCAGGCCTCGCCGGCACCGGGGCTGCCTGCGCCGCTCCCGCTCGAACGCTTCACTACGCCACTCGTGCCCCGTTTGGCCGCTGCACCGCTCCGCCAGCACCCCGCTGCACCGCTCCGCCGTCCCTTGGCCTCACCAGCGCCTGGTCGCATCCGCTCGGAGCCTTGTTTCTAGGAAAGGATAAGGGGAGAGAAGGCTGCCGGATTTTTTATTTGGCTCCATCGTATTCATACGGTGGATAAGCAAGGACATGGACCTATGGGCCCATGTGTAAGATAGTCATGAAAAAAATACGCAACTAAAATATTACTATCATTTAGCACTAATAATGACACTTATACTCACATATTTTATGATTCTCGTGTTATAAATTCCCGTATTCCAAATAGCCTAAATTTTATGTTCCTGTGTTTTGAAATCCCATAGTTTTTCACTTTTCATCGTACCTTATTCCTACATTTTTTTCGTATTCCTGCATTTTAGATTCCTCCATTCCAAACAGGCCCTAAGTGCCTATGTGTCATGTTACGGATTGGAACGCCAATCCCTCCAAAACAGACACTACAATAACTGCGCCAACAACTCTGCATGTGCACCACTCTGCAGTGTTCTCAGACGGTTTTGTTCTCTTTCTCACAGTACTGAGGTTGTTCAGTTGTTGCTAATAATTGAGAGCCTGATCGTTTGGCTGTGGCTTGTCGTAAACGATCGTAAATTTCTAATCGGAATAGTATTTTCCTCTCACACAAACCAGGCAGCAGTACTTCTTCACGAACCAGCAACGAAACGAACCAGCCAACCGAACAGGCTGTCAGTCTGAATATACGCCCGGTTCGTTTGGACTGGTTTAGCTTATAAGTCATGACTGAAAGTACCGTTGACTGGTTTGGTGTGAGAGAAAAATACTGTTCGTTGACTGATAAGCCATGGCTTATAAGCTAAATACGACCAAGCGAACAGGCCGATATTCTACTACAAAGCAAGTAATCCATGCTTATCGTGCCGCAAGGATTTAAGCTCTTTAGGTCACCATCGATGGATGAGGAAAATGAACTTTGGACAGCTACGTCCATCTCTTTGTCAAAGTGCCATCTGAATATACATCAGTAGAAATGTACAAGCAGGAACTAGTAGTACAGCACAAACAAGAAGCATGTGTATTGTAATTTGTAAAAATGGACCACAAATTATAAGCGGCAAAAAGGCGCTACTAATTATATAGATACATGTTTGGATGCATGGTATTCTCTCTTTCTTTTTGTTTATTTCAGAAAAAAAATGCAGTTTCTACTTTCAAAGGCAACCACGGCACCTACTTTCAAAGGCAACCACGGCAACTACTTTCAAAGCTCATCGCGCCTTTGAGATGGGCCTCATCAACCTGGAGTGAAATCTTGGCTCCCTGGGAATTGTAGGAAGTTTCACTGACCTGCATTTTCACATAAAAAGATTTAGCTGAATATAGTTTGAAACAAAACAGTTTCAGGTACTTGCATTTAATTATATATGGAAATGTACATGAAACTATGGTTTGAGTTAATTTAGACCTTCTTGGGTGCTGAGGTTGTGAGATTGAGTGATTGATCATGCAAAAAAATTTGACAGATCATCAGAGAAGGCAAAAGGATTAGAAATTCAGTACCTTTTTGGCACAAAGGGCTTGGAGAAGTCCGGCATTGGATGTGCTCTTGGAACCTGCTTGATCTCGATCTCCTCATCCAACTGCACAAGAATACATCGTACCATGGATGGCCTTATTTCTTACACCCGAACAAGATGAACTCGTACCAATACCATGCTGTAAGTTTCAGATGGATACAGGCATCAAACCTTCTGCTGTCTTTCCCTCTCCAGTTTCACTTCCTCCATGAAGCTATTGCGCTCAGCGACCTGCAGGATGGAAAGACAGCCGATGCATAGCAGCCCTCAGGAATCAGCCACAGAGAGCGAGCATCGCAGTGGGCAACTTACTTGGCTATCGAACTTGACGCGTTTGACCACACGCACATCGCTGTGCAGCACGTGATGGATCGGTTCCGTGGGTTCCTTTGTTAGAGGTTTCGCGGGGATCTGCAGAATAGAAGGATCAGAGAAAGGTTGAGCAGACATTACCACTTGTCACCTGGGATAACTGATGAGGGATGGCCTTCCTTAAAAGTTCAGAAACAGTAACAGAGTAACAGACTAAAAATTGTGTGCCAGCCCACTGTAACTAATCACGGCAAAGGAAACGGTGCTAGAACTAAACTATATACATGAAAATTCCTGTAGGCAATGACGACCATGGTAAACCAAGCAACAATTCACCAAGTCTAGCAGTGTTAAGTGGACACTATGAACTGAAATTACTGAAGGCGTAGCTAGCGTACCTCTGGTTCGTCAGTTGTGTAGGGTAGACCAGCCTCTCCTCCTTTACCTGCATCTTCCTCAACCTCTCAAGAAAATTTCCTTCCTTGGCTTTTCCTCTTTGCTGAGTACAGGAACAAGACACAATTTACTCAGTTAACATACATACAGGCATGAACAATTTCTTCAGAAAGAAGTACATGCATGGACAATTTCTTCAGAAGGACAAGCATGGACAATCGTAAGGTGTTATGAAGCACTAGGCCCTCGTACCTCGGTCCTGAGACGGAACGGCTGCTGAGTGGTCACCCTTGTCACCTTCCTGCTGCAACTCCAGGCCCTATCCGACGATCCGGTGCTCTGTGATGTGCAAACAGTGTCTGCGCAAAATGGGCAAATTCATCAGCTGAACGAGAAATAGGATTACGAGCATGCCGCGTGCGTGAGTGCGTACGTTGTATGGCCTGTGCCGCCGTTGGCCTCGTGCACGGCTGATCCTGCTGAATTTTCAGAGAGCGCATCAGCAGAAGGTGTCAAGAACAGCAAAATAATGCGTTATATGCAGCGATGGGTGAGGAATCGAGACCTGGTGCGGTCGGAGGCGTCGAGGATGCAGGCGACACCGGGGATGACCGGGAAGGAGACCTCGGACGACGACGCAATGGAGGGGTACGACACGTCGATCTCCTCGGCACCCCGCGGCGTTGCTGGCAACGACACCGTCGCTGTCGCGGTCGCGGTTCCCTCGTCCTTCCTCCTCCTCGCCGCGCCTCTGTTCCGCGCCATGGGGCCGCCTCCGCCTCCGCCGCCGCCCAGAGAGGAGCCGCTCGAACGTGTCCACCAGGTACGTGACGCGGCCCTCGCCGGGCTCCGGGAGGCCCGCCATGGCATCCTCCATCGCCACGACCCTCATCGCCCCGCTGCCCCGCCGTTCTTGGTCTGCCTCGCTGCAGGGGTAGGAGAGCTTGGTCCGCACCTCGTCGTCGCGCCTCGGCGGCGCCCGACGTCCCGCGCGTGCGGCGCGTCGTACGCCGCCACCGTGCCCGCCGCCGCGGTCGAGCACTCCTTGTTCTTGGTGCAAGAATCCACCAACCTCCTCCTGGTCGCCGGCCCCGGCGTCCTCTTCGCCGCCACCGGCGTCTTCTTGGCCGGGGACGACCCAGGGCCGCACTTCTTGGCCGCCTTGCCGCCGGCGCCAAGAACCGCGGGCCCCGCGACCTTCCCGGCGCACGCCCCGAACCTCCTCGGCTCCCGCCGCGCGAACGAGGACGGCGCGTCCTCGTGCGCCAGCCGATTCTCCGCCTGCGATGGCAGCGGCGGCGGCAACACCACCACGGGCGCGAACGGCCGCCGCGGTCCTCCTCTGGCTCTCGTCGCCGCAGCCGCCATCGTCCCAGATCAAAGCGTGCCCAAACCGGGACGAAGACGAAAGCTTTCGAAACCCCGAGCGGCGGTTGACGAGCGAGAGTTATGAGGCGCGATCCGAGAGGGATCGGATGGAATTCGCGTTTCGAAATCCGCGTGGACGAATCGAAACGAATTTATAGACGAGGAAGGAGGAGGAGACGAGGCGAAGCCGGTGAAGCAGGGGAACGTAACGTTGCCGGCGTGCGGCGCTGGCGCAACGGCTAGCGGCCAAGCGGCGAGGGGTTTTCGGCCGCTGCGGAATTTCGGGGCCGTTGGATCGGGGAGCGGAGGGGATCTGTTGCCGTTGATGAGTGGATTTATTGAGTTTAGAGTGGGTTATCTGGAGTATTTACCGTTGGTGAAATCCTTTGGTGTGAGATTAAACAGTGAATCTGGCCTTGATCTGATTTCTGCTACTGAAATGAATTGGGATTTAGTGAGTGTATCGTCGTTAGGACGTTTGGTTCACGTAACTGTAACGTGATTTGATTACTGCAGGTAACAGATTCCATTATTGAATCAGCATGTCGCATTTCATTGATTTTACCGAAATTAACAGATTTTTCCATAATTCAATGTTTGTTTACGCACTGTTTCAGGGAAATCGAGTCCAGCCGTTACCTTATACCGCACTATATAAAACCGATACAACTCCAACCTCAGCGTAATTAGATAACGATACGTTGCCTTCTCCCGCAATTCCATTCCCTTTGCATTTCCGTTACCATTTCAGGAACCAAACGCCTTGTAGGATGCAGGGACCCAAAAAAAAAAAATCAAATCTCAGTTAGTTACTTTCACAATCGTTGCAAACATACAAACGCCATATCTGAAGATCAAGTGCAGCAACGACCTCAAGAATATTTGTATGAGCATGTATAGCAACAATCTCAAGAATCTTTGTAGGAGAATGCTTATTACCATACTTGTACAACTTGTACTGTCCTCTCCATATATACGGATACACATGCATATGACCAATACTTCCTAGCATGTTTGGAAAGCCAGATATCAGTGAGTTGCAAGTGTTAAATGTGTAGCGCCGTGTTCTGCAGTAGTCCTGTGAGGTTATCTTCATATAAAATACGATATGAGGTACAAGGCAACATACTTAAAGATGGTATAGTTTGATGAATCTTGTAACTTAACAAACGACTAAGCGAGCAACGGACCGGACCTATTTCACCAGAGATAAAAAATGAATATGATACTTATTTATATACGAGCAACAATAACAAAAACACACTTTAGAGTGAGTCACAACATTAGGAAGAAATCCGAATCCATTGAAAGAATCAAGATACCCAAGAGGGATGATGAATTAGACTAATTCTAAATTTCTTGCAATAATTAAGTCCTACACCTAGCCTATTTCACCCCTATATCTAGAAATGTTTCTATTCTTCTACCGCATAAAAGTTTTGCACCTTAGATTCCAATTCTACTCTAGTATATCAATTCTAAGAATGTAAAGACATGGATTGAATTGCTCAAATATAAATGCTCAAAGTAAAGAGAATGAGATGAATGTAGCGATGTTTTTCCGATGTATCAGAGAGTCGCTACTCCTCACTAGTCCTTGTTGGAGCACCTGCGCAAGGGTGTAGCTTCCCCTTGATCCGCGTAAGGATCAAGTGTCTTCTACGGACTGATTCTTCGACACTCCATCGCGGTGAATCACCCACGACCGCTCACACCATGATTCACCGCGATGGAGTGTCGAAGAATCAGCCCGTAGAGGGCACTTGATCCTTGCACGGATCAAGGGGGAGCTACACCCTTGCGCGGGTGCTCCAACGAGGACTAGTGGAGAGTGACGACTCTCCGATACCTCGGAAAAATATCGCCGCATTCCTCTCCTTCTCTTTACTTTGAGCATTTACATTTGAGCAATTTAATTTATATCTTTATATTCTTAGAATTGTCATGCTAGAGTAGGATTGAAACCTAGAGTGCAAAACTTTTGTGCGGTAGAATAATAGAAACACTTCTAGGCACAAGATGATAAAATAGGCAAAGTATAGGTCTTAATTATTGCAAGAAATTTAGAATTAGCCCAATTCACCCTCCCTCTTGGACATCTTGATCCTTTCAACTCTATCGTGGTGAATCGCCCACGACCGCTCACACCATGACTTAGGTCATCCACAAGCTCCGTCAGATGATCACCAAGCTTCCAATCACTATCGAGCCGTCTAGATGATGGTGATCACCAAGAGTAACAAGCACAAACTCTCACTTGACGAAGACAAACCTAATGAGAAAGGTGGATACACACTTGCTACTCCCTATGCACTAATGAGGTCTTTAATATTGGATTCTCAAATCTCAATCACCCCACTAGGCTCTTGCTCCCCCTTGCACTTCAAAGATGTTTCTCAACTGAATAAATAGGCAAGAGAGCTAAGTTGGACGAGTGAGAGAAGTATTTTTACTCCCCACTTCAAAACATACCCATTAGGGTCCAACTCAACATTTTTGGGGTGACCGGACTCGTCCGGTTAGTAGCCAACGGCTACATGACGCCAGCATAGTCATCAGACCATAATAGAGACCGAACTCTGTCTAGCGTCAGATCGCCACCCATCTGACGCGTCTGGTCAGCAATTTCCTTCTCTAGATGCTTACTGTTGTTGACCAGACGTGGCCTCTAGTGCATTAGGTCACAACGTTCTCAGTGAGTGGTGAGCGCTCTCTGCTATAGTTGCGCACACCTACGCATTCGATCCTGATTAGGAGCCAGCGTTCGGTCGTCCTTCTGCCCCTGCAACGCACGCCAACAACTGATCGAACTCAGCACAGTAGCGTCCGATCACTGCTTCTACTATGTCCGGTCAATGAAACAACACTCCATTCACTTCCAAATCATGCACCTTTGTGAATGAGTTTGACTTCAATCAATCTTTGGGCTATACCTGAGCTACCTAGTGCTAAGTTTAATAAGTGTGCACCACACTTAACACATTAGACTCCCCTATATCAAGCTACTAGTTCATACCCCCCTTAATAGTACAGCCAAAGGAAAAACAAAGTCCTAAACTACTTTAAGTGTCTCTCCAACGCCAAACGACACTTAGAACTAGTCTGTCCTTAACCTTGTCGTCCATCCTTTGAAAACCAAAATGATTTCCATTGACAGGGGCATGAATACCATAATTGCCCAATTAATCATCATTACCATGACCTAACTCAAATTGCCTCTGTAAAACACACATTAGTCACAGTAATCTTATGTCATCATTAATCATCAAAACCCAACTAGGGGCCTAGATGCTTTCAATCTCCCCCTTTTGGTGATTGATGACAACACTACCTCGAGTATGTGTATAAGAGACGGGTGAGGTTTTCAACATGCTTGGTTCATATAAGCAATTGACAATAAGAACAAAAGAGGGTTAGGCATGCTTATATGACCCAAGCCAACATGATGTGCTCACAAGATATGAAAGAAGCACGAGTACACAAAGTAAAGCTCATTTGAACCGGAGTATAACACGGAAGCAAGGCAAATGAGCAAAAGCAAGTGACATGACATATATATCAAAGTTGAGAGCACACATGTCACAAGAGTCTTACAACCACATATATAACACAATGTATGAAAGTAAACATGAATGCATAAAGTATCACACACAAAAGAATAAGTCCATCTCACACACTCCCCATAAATCTAACATACTCGCTTCCTCTCCCCCTTTGACATTAAGCACCAAAATCTAAGGGTCAGACGATGAGGTAGGAGCAGACGAGTCAGGCGCATCATCATCTGACTCTAGACTCGGAATTGTCGGACTGGCTAGAGCAATCGGTAGTTGACCCTCTGGCTTTGAAGCATGAAGTGGAGCGGTCTAGGTCTGTGCTACGGTCTCAGTAACTGGGTCGGCTAGCTGAGAAGTGGAAGCTAAAGTTGTAGCCAGACCCTATGGCTCTGAAGCTGTCTTTGTAGGAAGTGGAGCCACAACTATCTCTGTCTCTATCACTGAGGCCTCAAGTGTAGGAGTGACTATCCGAGGTGGCTCTGACAAAGCAACATAAGACGATAGAGTCTAGGTAGTCCCTGTGATTGGAACTGCTGCTATAGTAATAGGCACCTGAAGCTCTAGAGGTGTGGGGTGACCTGTGATCTCGCTAAAAGTGGCAGCCAAGCTCCTATAGACCGGTGTATCTATCACTAACACTGACTCGGACTGAGTAGGGGTGAATCCGGTGATAATCGGAGTGAAGCCCTGAGTTTGTGTCCCTGGTGTAGCAAACCACTATGAAACCTGCTCGGTGGGTGATGCAAACTATGGAGCTATCTGTCCCTAACTCTGAATCCCATTGGGATGTATAGCTAGAGTCATTGGGGTACTCGTAACAGTCGAACCAAGCTACAATGTCAGCCGATAAGGATCAATCCCTATCGTTGTAAGGACATGCTACATGAAGCCAAGAAGCTACTACTGCTGAATGACCTGCTACTGCTGCTGGAACTGGTCTTGCCGGGTCTACATCTGAGCGAAGAGCTACAGCTGTGGCCTATGCCTGACGTGTCTGCTCCTGTTGCATCCTGTCAAGTATCGCTATTAGAGTAGGGTCGATCTACGATGGCTAAGGTGGAGCTGAGCTGGAACCACTGGCCTCTCTATCGTGAGCCCATGGGGGCATCCATGGAGTAGGCTAGTAGTCCTCGTCTAAACTATTAGATATGTCATCCTCGTCCTCATCGTCCGTCTGTGCCTATAAGTCTACAAGCTCTAAGTCTGCCAAAGCCCTGATGGCCTCGTCCTGCTCGGCCTCTATCTCTGGCACCTCTGGTCTCCGGCGACAGCTCTGCCTCGGTGTCCTACTCCTAGTACTGGAACCCATCAGCTGGCGCATATCGTACTTAGGGAACTCAGTAGTAGTACTAGTCAATTTAGTCACTACCTCAGGAGGTATATGTGGACAGGCCTGTAGTATGAGAAATCAGATCCAATGGGCATACGGTAGCTGACAGTGGC